TTGATTCGTTGAGGGAGAGGAAGAGGAAACAGGCGGGACATCGGAAGCGATCCCGTTGGGAAGGTCATGGTCGAGGCGGGGATAAAACCGTTTTACTGCCCGCAACCACGATCGCCGTTTAGCTGCTACATCCCGTATGGTATCTGTAATATCTTCATCTCCCTGACTGATATATTTTTTTGTATCAGTCAGGTCCAGTTCCAATGCTTTAGCGATGATAGCAGATAGTTGGTGCGTCTTCGGCGGGACCTTTTTCTGTAACTTCCCTTTCAACGCCGGACTTCGTAGATGATCAATGAACAAATCTCGAGCGGATTTCTCGTCTCGCCCAGATTTGTCCAACGTGGTTTGAAATCGATCCACGAAATCGGGCAGCAATTCCCCTGGTCCTTGTGGCCAAGTTTTGAGCACGTACCAGGCAGCATCTTCACTGACCGTATCGAATCGAGCCAAGAATGCTTGTTTGAAAGTATTCCAATCTACCCACGCATGCTTTCTAAACCAATCATGCGACGTATTGCGAAGTAGCAAGGTAAGAACGCGGGGAAGATCACCCGCGCTGTAGCCTTGAGCTTCGACGGTTTCCAACCAAGCCTCGGGATGGGTATGGTTAGGGAAGAAGGGAAAGGGGGCGGGAATGCTAACCACTACCCTATTACCGTCCACCATTGGTATAGCTGGTATAGCACCAGATATAGATCTGGTCACTTGACGATCTCGGCAAGCGGGTTGGGGACTTCTTCTTCTACCTCTCGCCAGTTCGACTTACTATCATTTGAACCGACACGTGTCGGCTCCGATACCAACCTCACGCCCTGTGCTGTCTTTCATTCGGAGTGCTAGATGTGCGGAAAGAGGCCTAGAAAAACAGCAAGATGGGGTGTGCCAAGGATTTTTAGAAATTGAGTGTGGGGACACAGACGAAACTGAAATCCCCCGTGTTGGTCCGATGAAGTAAGTCGGTTGCTTTCGCGCGTCGCAGAATGCGCGCGCGGGCACGGCGCAAAAAGAGAAAAATCCAAATTCAATCCAAAAAGTATTGTCGAGCTTCCCACCGTGCTACGGCCCATCGTTTAGAGCGGAAGGGCTTCGGCACGCTTCGCGTGTCTCGTTTTCGTATCAAATCCCGTCGTCGCTCGCTAGTCAGTTCTAAGTCTGATGTGGAGGGTCGCAGCCGTGTGGCTCTTTCCTTATGCTCGTCCTCACTCCGTATTCGATAGTGGAAGCTTTTGCTTCGTAGCGATCGAAACGCTGGCACTCTGTGCACAGGGTTCGAGGCCCATGGGGTGCCACTGCCGTCCACGGAATGACGATCAGCTCGTTAAAGGGGAGCAATATTGAGTAGGGTGGAAAGTGTGTGTCGATAATAACAAACCCAGCCTCTACAAACCCTGAACAACGGTTTGCCGGAGGGAAGTAGTATCACCCGCCGATCTGTGCGACAGCTTCTCGTACGTCCCACTCGCATACACGTGTCCTTTCCTCGTTGTAAGGAAAAGGCCATGTTGATACGGGAGGTACAGGAGGCTGACGCCCGATCGAAGGGTGCTTGTCAGTCCACATGTTAATCAATTGCAAAAACTCCGAGACGTCATCAAGGAGGAACACTCGCGCAATCTCCAATCAATCCTTTCCAACACGAGGGAGAGAGAGAGAAAAGAAAGAAAAAGAAAAATATTCATCAGCTCGATCATGCATGTAACTAAGGGACCGACACGTGACTCGTGCAGCATAAGGCAGATGATATGCGCAGTGCATTCAGAACTACAGATCTAAACACTCTTGCATTCTCAGACAAAATCCCGACAACAATCGTCTAATCAACGCAAAAAGACACGTACCTCCATACATACATTCACTGTGGAAGGTGCGAAAATGAGGTATGCATAGGGATAAAAGATGGATCGCTGAATAATACACACGCATCCACCGTTCACCAGACACGAAGACGGGGCTCTTGCATAGGGGGACTACCTAGGAAACTAATGGAAGAGTTCCGGAAGAAGTTCTTTCACACAGGAATAACATGCAAACTCATTCCCATTAGAGAGAGGGAAAGCGATCGAGACACGACATCATTCAAAGATAGATAGATAGATAGATAGATAGATAGATAGATAGATAGAGAGAGAGAGAGAGAGAGAGAGAGAGAGAGAGAGAGAGAGAGAGACGAGGGAGGAGTGTCGAGATGGAAGAGGACAAAAGCTGAGAAGAGGAAGTTCGGCGTTGCCGCCGTACACTCACGCCAGAGATAAAGATCTGAACAACAAAGGCGCATTCGCCGTGAATTCCAATATGGCCCCAGGCCAATCATTCACTCAACTCCAATCATCGATCCTCATACCCGCACCGACGATCCCGGTCGTCCCGTGCTAACTCCCACCACTGCGATCGTCACCACGCTGACGTAAACTCGACGCGGTTCGCCCAGACCCCACAGTCCGTCGTGGCGATCAAGCGCACAACCGGCCAGTCTATCGGTAGCCCGATAGGACTTTCCAACTCGCATCAAGCACTCTGCCTAGCCACTGCTTCCCGGAAGCTGGCTCAGGAGTCGAGAACGTAAGAGAGCTTTGCGGGCGCGTTTGCGGAATTTATAGTGGTGAGGAAAAAGACAAGGGAGAGAGAATGCAGGGGGAAAATCAAAGTGTAGAAAGAGAAGCAGGAGAAGAAGACTTGAAGAGAAGCGCGCTATAGAAGCCATGTTGATCCTTCGGGACTCAACGATTGGCCAATAAGACTCGTTGCGCAATAGGCAGATCCTACCGTACCACGCGTCTGATTGGTGGGCGAGAGTAATCGAAGGATCGACCGGGCTTCACAAGCTTTGCTCGAAGGCGGAGAAAAAAAGGCGCGACAAGTAGCGCAAAACGGGTCCAAGATTCAGATGATCAAGAAGGGGAAATGGGCGCGCAAAGAGCTGAGCAGGGGAGAGAGAGAGGGAGAAAAACAGTTACGAGGAGAGAGAAAGAGGAGGGGGAAGAAAAAAGGAGCGCGGGAAAGAGCGATGCGGGGGACAGAGAGGAAAAAGCCTTACATGCGCGGCGCCGTCAACAACAAAGAGAGAAAAAGGCACCGAAACAGTTACAGCTTGCCGATGTCCTAAACCAATTCAAAATTAAAATCACCATATCCGCGCGCGAAAGAGTGACGCAGGAAAAGAAAGTCCTACGCCTATTCGTATCCTCACAAAATCCCGAGAGTTTTCCCCAACGTGACCGAGAACATTCACACACAAAAAGGACACGTCGAAGTTCCGCTTATCCCGGAATTCCAAACTGCCGGGCCCAATTCCCAGTGCGCTCGCTAAGGCGCGTGTAATTTCCTATGCCTTTCCCGACGTGCAAAAAAGAAAAGAAAGCAAAACGGAAGAATCACAAAAAAGTTTCCGGAAGATGGGGGCCAAAAACGCGGCACCCGAAATCAAGAAAACGAAACGGGGTCTTTATGGGGTGGGTACGATACAAGCAAAAAGGGGTACGAAAGACAGCACGGGTTTGGGAAGTAGTTTGTCACATAAACAAGCTGCATATTTCGTTTTTAGTTTGGTCGCGTACTGGTGGTTCAGTTGGCTTTTGGTATGTCATGGAACATATGTTTTCTTGTTTTTTTCCTACCTACCTACCACTACTCCTAAGGCTATACAGGGGACCTCTGCAAGCATAGCTATCCATCTTTCTTCGGTGAAGGGAGGTTACATCTCTTGGTGGAGGGAGGTAATTGCATGTTTGCCCCTTGCCCTAGTGGTTTAGGGTGCAGGGTTGGGGTCGCTTGTAGGGGCCCGGCTAAGACAAGAACCTAGCGTTTGCGAGTACTGCGCCTCCCTTTCATCTTCGCCTCATCCCCATTGAGTAATATGAGTGTCTAAAGTCAACACTCTCCCACACACGCACACGCAACCCATTGGCTGAAGACCCTACTAATAACGACTGAGAGGATCCAGCTGACTATCTTTAGGAGTGTCATCCTTGCAGCTGAGTATCTCAGTTGGTTGGCACCAAGCATACTGCAGGCTGCCAAATACAACGAACGAATGGTCATTATAGGTGTATTTGGGGTATTTTTCAGTCTGAATACTGTATTCGGGGGATGAAGGTAGGCCTCTGATGGATTTCCCCCAGGAATAGAAGGGGCTGTGTGTGTGTTGTGCGAAAAAAATGGGATAACCAACTACCAGAAAGCACAAATTATGGACATACCCAGGCAAACTTATGGGCATACCCAGGACTGTGGTGGACCGGCCAAATTATTCATATGCTCACACGTAGCAGCCTCTGGGCCACAAGGGTCCACGTGGTGGGCATGAGCATAATTTTGTGGTTGCCATCCAAGCCCCGCCCCTGGCTGTGGGTACACCCACAATTTTGCCAGCCCATTTCTGGGCATGGGCATAGTTTTCGTTGCCTGGAACTCAGGGCCTGCGGGACTGGGTATGTCTACAATTTCGCACAGGGGAAAAGTCGGGCAAAGTTTAACGGGGTTCAGGTATAGATGCAAGTTGGGTGCTGGGACTGGGTATAGCGGGTGCAGATGCAAGTTTCCTAAAAACGAAACAAACAGAACATACTGATGGCCTAGCTCAGTTGGCTCACCCTCTCCCAAAAAAGATGAAAAAAGGAAAAGTTGGTACACAGCAGATGCGTTCTCCGGCGGCGTTTCAGTGATTTCAGTGAGAGAAGTACTCACGAGGTGAAATCGACTTCGGTGACTGGTGGAGCGAGGCCCGTAATCCGCAGCAGTTCGGAGCCATATTGAAGTAGTAGTCCTGTTGTCCTGTTATACAGAGCACGTGACGCACGACCTGGCCCCGGGGGCCGAGAGGGTCAGGCAAGCTTCGTCAAGCTGCGCGCGGCGTCTGCTCTCCGTTCTGCATCTCTCAGGGCACCCTCACACTACTTCGGTCGTTGCACGTTCTGCACGTTCTGCGTCTGCGGTGACCAGCGAATCGCGCACTCGCTCAAGCGGCGAGCGATCGCCTGAGGCGATCGACGGCCGGCGGAGCAGGTGACCGCTGCTGGTAAGTCTTCACTCCTCTACTCGCTTCCGGCAAGTCTTCACTCCTCTACTCGCTTCCGGCGTCCTTATAACTAGTCCACCTGGCACGGGATAGTAATCCACCTACGCGCTTTCTCGCTTGCCTTTGCGTGCGCCTCTTTTATTATCCATTGACTGCTCTCCCGCTCTGCGTTTTCCAAGTCCCTCATTTGGGCAGCTCTAGAGGGGTCCAACCTACTTCTCGCCGACCGCAGTGGCGCGGGTGGAGCGGGCAGCAGGTGTTCGACATAGTTTTCCCATCGCTGTCTTCGTGTCTGTTATTTGTCCAAGGGAAGCCGCATTGGAAGGACAAATTGCTTCCTTGCAACCAACCTGTCGATAATACAAGCTCACACAAGAGTGGAAGCTCGCCTACTTCAACACGCAAGAGAGAGAGAGAGAGAGAGAGAGAGAGAGAGAGAGAGAGAGAGAGAGAGAGAGAGAGAGTATGGATCCCGGAGGCAAGATATTCGTGGCGGGGCATAGGGGTTTGGTGGGATCGGCGATAGTCCGGCGACTGAAGAAGGGTGGTTTCACGAACCTGGTTCAGAGGACTCATAAAGAACTGGATCTGGCTCGGCAGGCCGATGTGGAGGAGTTCTTTGCCAGGGAGAAGCCGGATTACGTGTTCGTGGCAGCTGCAAAGGTTGGCGGCATCCATGCGAACAACACTTACCCAGCAGATTTCATCGCTGTGAATCTGCAGATCCAGACCAATGTGATCGATGCCGCGTACAAGCACAAGGTTAAGAAACTTCTTTTCCTCGGCTCGTCCTGCATTTACCCGAAGGAAGCTCCTCAGCCAATGACTGAGGACTGTCTGCTGACGGGCCCTCTGGAGCCGACGAACGAGTGGTACGCTCTGGCGAAGATCGCTGGCATCAAAATGTGCCAGGCGTACCGTCTTCAGCACGGATTCGACGCTATCTCGGGGATGCCGACGAACTTGTACGGACCGCAGGACAATTTCCACCCGGAGAACTCGCACGTGTTGCCGGCGTTGATCCGGCGCTTTCACGAGGCGAAGAAGTCGGGCGTGAAGGAGGTAGTTTGCTGGGGTACAGGGACGCCGCTGAGGGAGTTCATGCACGCCGATGACCTGGCGGACGCCGCCGTGTTCTTGATGAACAACTACAGTGGGTTGCAGCACGTAAACATGGGGACAGGCCATGAGGTCTCCATCCGCGAATTGGCAGAGCTCGTAAAGGAGGCGGTCGGCTACGAAGGACAGCTTCTTTGGGATTCGTCGAAGCCGGATGGAACCATGAGGAAGCTCATGGATTGCTCCAAGCTCCATGGCATGGGATGGAAACCGTCCATCTCGCTCAAGGACGGGATCACTGATGCTTACAAATGGTTTGTCGAGAACTGTGACTCCTAATTGATCTCGCACTCGCTCTCACAGAGAGAGAGAGAGAGAGAGAGAGAGAGAGAGAGAGAGAGAGAGAGAGAGAGAGAGAGAGAGAGAGAGAG